GTGCGAGAGGTGGTGTCAGGTCCCTTGGCCACCCCCTTTACGCAATGACACCTTGTGCCCACCTTCTGTCCCCGAGCTGTGTGTGCATCCCTTGGGGTGGCACAGATGGGACATCCCAGTGCAACGCCAAGGCTGTGCTGTCCTGTGCCCTCTGCGGGGCACGGTGCCACCCTACCGGGTCACACACCCCAGCACCCACGCACCTCTTTGACCCAGTCAGACATGATGTGGGTGCTGGGGGTGCGGAAATGGAAGTTGAGGACCACAACAGAGATCAACACCACGGCCGTCACCAGCAGCATGATGAAAAGCAGGTACCTATGGAGGGGCACAGACCTGGGGCTGGCATTGCCACCGGGGCTGGGTGCAGGCAGAGCTGCCCTCTGGCACCACAGGGACCCCACGATGTCCCCATCGCACTCAGGACTCACTTGCCGATGAGGGGGATGGCGTGGGAGGTGGCGGGCAGGCGCTGGGAGATGAGCAGAAGGAAGACGGACTGTGCCAGGAGCACCGAGATCACCAGGGTCATCTTCTCCCCACCTGGAAAGCACTTGAGCTCAGGGCACCCCCTGCCCCATGTCCCCCTCCCAGTGTCTCCAGTGCTGGGATTGCCCTTCCAGTGTCTCACCATATAGGGTTTTCTATTAGGGGGGTACCCCAGGGTCCCACATGGGGCATCCTGCACCCAAATATGCCCCCACCAAGGTGCCTGGCTGGGATGATGGTGTCCTAGGTGGGGGTGTCGCAGTACCAGAATATCCCCGTGCTGGGCATTGGGGTGTCCCAGGACCTGGTGCAGGTGTGGGACATGGAGGTGCCCCATGGGGTGACCTCTTTGACCGGTGTGGGTGCCAGGGCGCTCACTCACTGTCCGCGGGAAGGTAGAAGACCAGGATGGCCATGAAGGCGATGAGGATGCAGGGTGTGATGATGTTGATGACGTAGAAGAGCGGCTTGCGCTGGATGATGAGGTAGAAGGTGATGTCCTGGTGCTCGCTGCTGTTGGGGGGGTTGTGAGGGTGGATGTTCTTGCGGGCCGGGCGGTGGATGATTTCCCATTCCCCATTCTCTGTTGGGGCACATGGGACAGCGCATGGCATGGGGAACCCCCGTCATGCCCATCCTCACCACCCCACCAGCACCCAGCCTCCTTGTCTTGGGTCTGGGTAGCTCCAGGCCTGGTGGGATGGGTGCCAGGTTGCCAAAAACCCAGGTATTCGAGTGTCTGCATGGCAAGGTGCCCCAGTGCACCTGTGCAGGGTGTCCTGCTGCCACAGGACACGGCAGAGAGCACAAGCGTTACCTGTGAAGCCTTCAGGGTCAATGACAATCCACTCCACTGCGTAAGACTTGCCCGTCTCTGGGTCGCTATCCGTCTTCAAGTGCATGCTGATCTCCAGGGCGCTGTACGCCAGCGAGCTGGCCCACGGCCGGGGAGGGACAGGAGGTGAGGGGCTGCGCCTGCTGCTTGGTACCCACCACCCACCCAGCCTGACCTCCAGCATGAGGGTCTCGGGCCACCGCATCACCTGCAAACCCCACCTTGCTGCACCCCAACAGCGAGGGAAGGTGCTGCCCACCCAAGCCAGCCCCCCAGCACCTGAATTTGAGGGTGCAGTTCTGCCAGTCGAAGGGGAAGAAGTCGACGTTGATGGGGCAGGCGCTGCGGAAGATGGCGGGCGGCAGCCAGCTGACGTCGCCCGTGTTGTAGACAAGGACGTTGCAGTAGTAGGCGACCTCAAAAAGCCCATCGTTGCTGTGCCAGGAGAGTCGAGGGGATGACAGGGCCAGCGAGGAGCAGGGGGAGCCATGGGCACCGGACACAGTTTGGGGGTTCAGGAGGGGAAACTGAGGCATGGCTCACTTGTTCTCCAGGACTATCTCAGGCAGCCACAGCATGTCTCGTGGCAGGCGGAGCACCTCGATGTCCCCAAACTCGGACTTGTTCCACTGCAGGCGGTAATCGCTCCAGGCCTGCAGGGGATATCCCCAGGTCACCCCCTCACAGCACCTCGGGGCACAGCCAACGCCGTGATGCCTGTCCCTACTCACGTGCTCGACCCATAGGTTGGTGGTGAGCGTCTCGTCCACCTCTTTCTGCAATGACAGTGTGGGGCAGTGAGACACCAGGGCCCTGCCCAGCAACTGTCCTCAAAAAGCCCAGGACACCCAGCCCGGGCTGGGGGCACCCCGTGGTGGGCATTGCCCCCTGGGGCTCACCAGTGAGATGAGGTTGGAGAGGGTGAGGGCCAGGTAGACGTCCACGATCTGGTCGGTGGAGACGACCGGGCGCACCTCCTTGTTGTAGCCCTTCTCCTCAAAGAGGTGATGGATGAGCCGCTCCTCCTGGTTCACACAGAGCCCACCTGGGGTGTGGGGTCAGCAGACCAGGGTGCGGGTTACTGGTCCCAGTGTCACCTCGCAG